TTTGACCTGCAAAGCCTGCAGAAGCTTTCCTCAAGCCTTTGGGAGGCTGAAAAAAGGCCTCAAACGGGCTGAAATTCAACTGGGAGGTGCAGTGCAGGTAAGGTGGTGGCGGGGGGGATTGTTTGCGCATGGGGCATGGGGGTTGTGTGTGCCTTGCCTTCTGTGTGCTAGCGCACAAGCACAATTTTTGCCAGAGGAAGGTTAGCCCCAAAAGGTTAGCCACCACTGGTGTAGGGTCTCCTGCTTGGGCGGATGGAAGGGTTGGACTAGATGACCTACAAGGTCCCTTCCAACTCTGTTAATCTGTTAAACCTGGGCTAAAGCTTTCAAGAAGAGACTGGAATTGCCCTCTGTCAGAAATGGTGCAGGGTCTCCTGCTTGGGCAGGGTGGGGTTGGACTAGATGACCTACCAGGTCCCTTCCAACTCTGTTAACCTGTTAGGGACTAGCGCTGGTAATGTTCCCTAGTTGGGTCTCGAAACGTCTGCAAGAAAACCTCGAGAGGTTTTCCCCCCCCCCCCAAAAGAGACCACGGCCAAGAGACCACCAAGTGCCCCCCTCAGCATCAAACCCTAAATGACAAATATTCTCTCTTTAGGATCCTGCAACTCCTAAAATGGGAGCCGCTGAAAGCAAGCAGTTCCTCCTGGCTGTTTCCTGACCTCTAAAGCTGCCCCAGGACAGGGTAGTCCTCGGCTTACAACAGTAGTTCATTTAGCGACCGAAGCAACAAGGCGTTGAAAGAAGCAACTCAGGACCGCTTTCCACGCTTTACGAACGTTGCAGCCACATCCCCGTTTGGTCACACGATCAGCATTTAGATGCCTTTTGCAGCCTTCTGGCAAGCAAAGCTGAGTTACTAACTTAACGGCAGAGGTTCGCTTAACAACGGTGGTTAAGAGAGGTAAAAGAGGGAACGAAACTCACTCCTCGATTGCCTCCCTTAGCAAGAGAAACTTTGGGCTTGATTCCGGTCATAAGCCGAGGATCAACTCCATACTGTAATTGGTAGGGCAACTGCAGGGGGGCCCTAATTCGACCATGTACGACTTCGGGCCTTTCTCTGCCTGATCCCATCTCGGTTTTTTCAAAGCCGCGATCCTAAGCGTACAACCGTGCCTGCCATCCCTGTCCTACTGTCCCCAATTACTAGTTCCCATTTCTTGCATTTAAACATGTTTATTCTTGTTTCTATTGTAGGTTTTTGATAAAATTAAAATAAATAAAATAAATAAAATCAAACCTTGTGGCAGGGAGTCCCCCTGGAGACATGATCAACACGGAAGAGGCTGCGGTTAGCCCAGGAGAGGAAAACGGTGGGTGGAAGCGAGGCTCTCCAGGCGAAACGCAGAATCTTTGCAAGAATCCGAAACCGCAGAGCAAAATCTCAGCAGCCAGAAAGGATGAAACCACCTTCCAAGTTTTGGGGGCCGTGAAGCAAAAAATTCCCAAATGGGAACTCCTGCAGAGACACGCCGGAAGCAGCTGCCCGGGAAAAGGAGAGGCACAGTTAGGATGTTGCAATGAAGGCTTCAAATCAATCAATCAATCAAAATAGAGCTGGAAGGGGAAGTGGCCAGGAGTGGGCAGCCAACGGCAGGCAACGGGCAGTGACCTGGTGGGCACTTCTTCTGCCCTCTGGGTACCCCCCAGCATGCCTTTTCACCCTGCCCTAAAAGGCTCAAGGCCAGATACTTCTCCCCAAATCCAAGCTGGGGAAAAGAAAAACCCCTTTGTAAATGCGTGAAACAGTGGCCACCCAGGCGATGGGGGCTCCTAGACGGTAATCTGATCAAATCATCATTTATGGTGGTTCTGCTGTGGGTACCCGTGCTTTCCAGCTCTTGCTGCCAGTTTGTGGCTTGGCTCTCTTGCTTAGATCTCGCTGGGGTGAAATACGCTTCCTGGCAGCGTATTTAAGAACTCTTGAAAACCAGCCCTGTAGGTGGTGCAGAAGGAAAGCCCCAACAGGTAGGTAGACTATCAGTGCGAAATCTCTCTCTTGTTCCGCGACTCGGGTAGACTCCTCCTGGATTTGCAGGCTCCATCCCCGCTTGGGATTTATTTATTTCTCCTTGCCAAGCCCACAAGAAAGGGGCTTCCTTGTGGCCTTATTGGGGGGCGGAGGGAATGTTTAGCAGAGAGAGTTTCAGTGATATTTCCAGCCATTTATTATGGACCAAAATAAATAAATATATAAATTAGTTGAATATTTAGCAACCTCGGATGCAGAATTACTGTCACTGCAAATTTGAAGGTAGATTTGAAGGAGTCATCAGGGCCTGGAGCTTGGTTGCTTTGATCAAAATACTCCCAGCTATACAGAGTCACAATTTAGCAGCTTCTTAAAATGATTTTTAAAAAAACCCTTGTACATCCATGCTAGTTGTTCCCAGCTCTAGCGGGCGCTGGTCATCTCTGTCACAAAGCCGAAGAGCCAGCGCTGTCCGAAGACGTCTCCGTGGTCATGTGGCCGGCAGGACTAAACGCCGAAGGCGCATGCAACGCTGTTCCCTTCCCACCAAAAGGATCCCTATTTTCCTACTTGCATTTTTATTATGTGCTTTCGAACTGCTAGGTTGGCAGAAGCTGGGACAAGGAACGAGAGAACCGCTGTGAACTACCTTAGAAAGAAAAAAGACTTTTAAAAAAGTACATGCATAGATCTCCTCATGGTTTCTTTTCCCAAACAGGCGTATAAGTACGGGTGCTCCATCTCTGGAGGCTTTTAAGAGACTGGACAGCCATTTGTCCGAAATGGGATAAGGTCTCCTTTCTGAGCAGGGGGGGGGGGGTTGGACTAGAAGACCTCCAAAGGTCCCTTCTGACTCTGAGATTCTGCTCTCTGGGCTCGTTCCCTGCCAGTTTGTGAAAAGAACTTGTCCGCAAATCCTCCTTTTTTAAAAACCTTCTCCCTTTCAAAAGGGACGAAAGCCGATAGCCAGAGAAGAGGAAGCAGCGGAGGTTTTGCATCTGGGGCCTCAGGAAGCCGGACCTGCCCCCTGCCGTCCAGCCGCATTCCAAGGAGCCAGCCCAGATGTTCCCTGCAGCCCCTGCCAGGGTTCACACATGCCAGCTGGGACCTTTGCGCACTTCATCGTGGGCACGGCTGCTTGCGGAAGCGTGCCCGAGGGCGCAGGGAGCAGGATGCCATCGGGGCGGCAGGTTGGGTGGGCGGGGAGAAGGCTGCTCACCCCTCTCCCGAGCGCCCAGGTGTGGGTTCAGAGCACAGGTGGATGCCCGAGACGTTTCCCTCCCACACGGGACTCTCGCCCTGTCTCGACACGTTCCCCGAGCTCTGGCACTCCACCAGGAGCCGAGAAGCGAAGCTGCCAAGCCTGTGGCACCCCTGACTCCTGCGCTAAAACAGGCTTTACCGCCTCCCCGGCGCCCACCCCAAGGCCCAACCCTTCCGTGGATTCCCCCTGGCACCCCAAGAGCAGGGCACGGGGAAAGAAGCCAGCCGTCCCTTACCACGGGTGCCGTCCGATAGACTGCTTCGATATTCGGAGGTTTCGCTCAACTCCAAGGGGGGAGAGCCGGTTTCCTAGAAGGGGCAAACCACACCCACCCACCCTTGAAATGAGATTTCAACTGGGCTCCGGCAGATCCCGTTTAAACCTCTGGCGCTGTGGGCATCCCCGGCCTTTCCAGCTTTCCAGAACTGAACCTTCTAATCCAAGGGAAGCACCCAGGCAGAGCCCAGCTAAGTCACACTCCCATTCGGGACACGAAAGAAGAAAACCAAAAGGTAAAACTGCCTCTATAAAACTGGAGGTCTCAATAAAGCTGCCACAACTTGCAAAGTATTTTGAGGGGTGCAAAATCCAGCAAAGGGGGCTTCTAATTATCTTTTTTTCCCCCTCCTCTCTTCTCCCAAAATCGCTCGTTCTTGCCTCTTGGAATATAGAAGAGAATATAGAATAACAGAGTTAGAAGGGACCTTGGAGGTCTTCTAGTCCAGCCCCCTGCTTAGGCAGGAAACCCTACACCACTTCAGACAAATGGTCATCCAATCTCTTCTTAGAAACTTCCAGTGTTGGAGCATTCACAACTTCTTGTGGCAAGTAGTTCCACTGATTAATTTGTTCTAACTCTCAGGAATTTCCTCCTTAGTTCTAAGTTGCTTCTCTCCTTGTTTAGTTTCCACCCATTTATTGCTTCTGCCTTCTCAGGTGCTTTGGAGAATAGCTTGACTCCCTCTCCTTTGGGGCAGCCCCTCAAATATTGGAAGACTACTATCATGTCACCCTTATCATCAAACTAGACATCCCCGATTCCAGCAACTGTTCTTTTTATGTTCTTTATATGTTTTAGTCGCCAGTCCCCTAAATCCTCTTTGTTGCTCTATTTGAGATGCTTTAAAAAATTCTCTCTTGCTTTCCTCCTCCTGAACTGACAGGAGCCAGAAGAGCTGAAAGACAGAGACAGCAGGAGGAGGAGGAGGAAGAGGAGGAGGAGGAGGACGGACTAACAGATTTAAACTCTGCCTTAAGATGCGGCGGAAACTTTGGGGAAGGAGCAAATTCTGAACAGCTTCTCCCTGACCAGGAAGGTGCTGTGTCTAAAAGCTGTGTTAGGTTTGGTCAAAAAACCTAACTTTTTCCCTTCCACCTTCACTGCTCCAGCCTGCAGGAACTTCGTGATTTTTCGTGTCTGTTTCTGGACCTTTGAGACAATTTCAAGGTTTTTTTCCTCCTTTTGCTGCATTTTACGCTGACCAGGTTGGTCCCGGAGAGATAAAAATTACTTGGAGTTGACTGAAAGTTTGGATCTCTCTGCAAATCGACACGGAAAGTAAGTTTGCTAATTGTCTCCCTCCTTCCTTTTTGGTTTTTCTTTTATAATCCTGGGATGCTCTCGCAAACATAACTTTTCGGAGATTTTATAAGGCACGGATTTAAACCTGGATTTGGGCTGTCGCTCCTGTGGACTTGGTTGGATAACCCTGTTTTAATCTTTGGCTGCTGCAAGAGGTCTGTGGTTTTTGTTTTTTTTCCACGGGATCGAACTCCTGTTCCAGAGGGTGAGTCGATTTTTAAAAAATCCTTTTCCAAATAACTCCTCCGCTTTCAGGTTTACAAACTGTTCTGCGGGATTTCGCTGCCTGAACTCTAACCTAGGACCACACTTCGTGCTAAATTCGACTTATAAAAGGGTATTTGGGGGGGAAATGTCTGTTTTTTTTTCTTTGCTGTTAAACTGAAAGCCTGTTTCTCTTTTTCCCTCTTTCTTCTGAACCTTTAAGTAGAAGATGCCATTGATTTGACCACGGGCTTGTCTACAATTTGGGGGCTGCAAGTAAATGCTTCAACCTGTTTTGTGGATTCAGCCTCCTGTTTCGTATCATGGCTTACAGGTCCATGAACCCAAGCTCAAATCACACACACACGAGCATTTAGCGGTTCTTACAACTCGCTTACGAGCTTCCAAGCTTTAAAAGGAAACAAATGTGGAATTCCACATTGTATGCCCACAGGGAGATGCGGCCGGCCCCTCTCGCCTTTCAAAAAATTCATCACTTACAATTTATGTTTCGGAGGGATTTCTCTACACAATGGAGATCACCATCACTGAAAAAAACGGGTTGGAAGTTTTTCTCCCCACTTTTTCACTTGTAAACATTCGCACACCTTGTTTTCCCCTGGAAGGTGGGTGTGTTTATTTGGGGTGTCAATCACGGGAACAAAGTCATCTTCAGAAATTCACCTAGAAAGGCAGGTAAAGAGCACTTGCAGATGGACACACCTGGGTGGACCGAGAAGCATTCATTCCAAAGAAATAATGTACTTTTTTTCCCTTTCAGCTATAAATGTACCAACAATTCCAAAAGATTGTGTTTTTTTGGAGGGGGGAGGTCATTAGCAATTTGAAAATTATTTTCCCCTTGCCAGGCAGCCAAAGGTCAAAGATGCTAGTCTACAAGATAATTCTTCTTCACCCCCCTTTTCCGAGGGGTTGTTGTGTGAAAGGAGGGCAAACCTGCATCTTTTTGCCACTCATCAAGTCCAGATATTTTTCAAATGCTCCCCCCCCCCACACGCTCTCTTTCCTCTTATCCTCCCCTCTGATGGATGGCTTGAAAGAGGAGAAATCTTAGCAAATAAATTAGTTACAGATGAGAAACGTGCTGCTGGGGGGAACCAGTTTTTCAGCCATTAAAATATTTCCATCTGTCTTTCCACGATCCTTTCTCGGCTCAGTGACAAAAAAGGAAGGAAAAAAAAAATCAGTGAAAAATCCCAGCCTGGAAATGTTTTCAGGAACATCTTCTAATCTTTTATCTCTTTTCTCTCTTACCGCTGATTCAGAATGGAAAAGAGAGATCTGAAACGCATTAATTTGGGCCTAACTTTGAATACCAGAGGGAAAAACATTATCTTTGAACAAGCTGTCTTCGTACTGTTTAAAAAAAAATGAAGTTAAAACATCGTGTGCATTTAAAGAAACAATTCCGCGGTTACCCAAAGGGATTAAAACAACCTATTATTACCTCTGTTAAAAATGACATTTCCTTGGGCTCCCTTAGGGGTAAAAAAACCTCTGTATTGTTTTAAGGTGATTCTAAATAGTTTGACTACCAAATTTGCTTTAGTAGATATTTACACCGTTAAATATGATCTCTCTCTGGAAATGCTGTGCAGCGGCTGTTATTATCCACTTAGCAAAAATCAGATCAAATAATGCTCAGTCACAGGACAGCTTCAACGAGGTGGGGGGTTTTTTTTTCCCTTAAATTTGAGAAAAAGACAAGTTGGACCAACCAAGCGAACGAAGCTACCCGTGAAGTCGCTTAAAAAAAAACAACAGGACGGGAACCACGTTTAAAATCACTCCTTGGTTTGCAACCAACCTGTCATTATCATCCCCTTTTACTTTGCAGCATTGGGTGGTGAATTGTTTACGGGAGGTAAGATTACCCTGGTAGGAAGGTTCTACTTTCTTTTTTGTCCTTCTGTATGTGGGCGATAAAACCCTTCAAATCAAGCCGCTACTTGATTTAAAGTAGACACTCAGAAGAGAACACAAAAATTCTTCAAAGGGACAACAGAAGCTTTTAAGCAGATTCTTAATGCTTTGAGGGGGGGGAAAGGGGCTTCTAAAAAGTATTCCCCCCCAAAAAATAAACCTACGACATCCTCAGTTACAAGAAGCTCTTTCTCTTCCCCTCTGATTTCTTTAATCGCCCCCATTTTTTTTTCTGGGTGAAAACGAGCTCTGAGACCTTTCGCTTTTCCACTAAAGAGGACAACCCTGGTTTCGCTCTTTACGATTTGGGCTTTTCAATCCGAAAACGTGCCCCGTCTTGCTTCCCTCGAGAAGCCAAACCGGATCAGGCCAAGTTAGGACTTGAGAGAGGAAAGCTGGTGGGAATATTGGATGCTCCATGCTCCGCTCCCAGGATGTGGGATAGGAAAATGGGAGGGGTAAACCTGGTTAGCTTGGTTCCTTCCATGCCCCGAAGGGGGCTTGTGGGATTCCTAACATTCACAGAATAACAGAATTGGGAAGGTTCCCTTTTGAAGCTAACCTTGATTGCCACACCCTTGTGATCCTGGTTTGGGAGAAAACCAGGATCACCATTTTCTCCAGAAGTAGCCATGATTGCAAGGGGGTCATCCGCGCACGATGGAGTTTTGTGAAGGTCTTAAGTTTTTTCCTGGATGTGCAAACCAAGTTAAAAGCAAGCCAAACACCCTTTTCTAAGCTTCCTTCCCGATCCCTCAGCATTGTTGGCCACAGACCAACAGACCTAACATCTAATGTCCCCTGCGTGTCAGCCAGCTAATACATCCTTTCAGGCATGCTCCTGCAGTAAAATCCTGCAATTCCGTGAACAGGTTAAAACTGTTTTTATTCCCATGTGGTTTTGGATTCACCTGGCTAATGGGGCTGCCCCTTTTAGGATGGAAGAAGGATTATCTTTGCTTTTTGGTGGCTTTTTTAAGTACAGTCAGGATTTAACTCTGATTTTTTTTGTCTCGGCGTGATGAGATGTTGCACACCACAGAGAGCCCTTTAAAACAGATCATGCATACTAGAAATAAATAAATACTGAAAATACATAAATGAATGCCCCCTCCTCATCCCCAACCAACGGAGTTAAATATCTTCCCGTCTTTTTACCTTCATCCTGGCTTTTTTTCATGTAATAGTGCAATTGCTAAATTGGGTCCTGCAATATCTTTATTCCTGTGGGAAAAATCACTCATTTGGGGATAAATGGAAATTATGTTTTTGTTGCAAAGACAGAAGATTTGTGTAAAGTTTTGTCAGTTAAGGAGAATTGACCCTGCTTTTAAATTCATAACTCTTTCCAGTTCTTCTTTGAATGCCTCTTTAGCTCGGTTTTCTTGAAGTAAAGGCTGCACCATCCTCTTTCCAGCGGTTTAGCCGGATCCCACCTGCTGTCTTTTGTCTTCTTTTTCTAATAAAAGAGGGGAAAAATTCCTCCTGTTTGGAAACTAGAGTTTCCAACTTTTTTTCTCTGCTGGGCTGTTCACTGCAATGTTTTCTTCTGGGATCGGG